CAAATTACCACTCTCTACACATACATGAGACTTCTTGAGATAGGAGAAATCTCTGGATTTTCACTTGGCTCTTACTCTAGCAGCATAATATTATACATATGCATAGTCATATATACACATACATATGTGTTGTTTCCAGAAGACTCTGGCGTATGGAAAGAACAAAGGATTAGATTCCAAAACCGTGTTTGAGTTGTGATTTTATTGGCTAAGTGATCCTGGAGAATTACCTAACTCTTTAGAGATTCAAGATTCTTATCTATAAAATACTATAGTTATACCTACCTCACAAGGTCGACAAATAGTCAGTGTATAAAGAACCCTGTGAGTTTAAACAGTTTTACAAGTATAAGGAATGGTACTGCCAACTACAGTCTCTCTAGAGTGTGGGTGGTGGGATGTAGGGCTAGGCTGAAATCTTGCACAGACTCCCTGGAGAGAGCTACATAAACAACATTAATCCCATCTCCAAATGAGAAGGACATATATGGCAGAGACTTGTGAATAATCCAACATCACACAGCTACTAAGTGGTAGAACTGTAACCAGAACCCAGGGAGTATGTTTTCTGGTTTAAAGCTTTTCCCATTTCAAACTTGTTTACCATCCCAAAAGAATGGCTAAAGAGGGGACTCCTGTCCTGGAGTGAACACCATTAGAACTGCACTCTCAGGCTGGCGTGGTGGCTCACTCTTACAATGGTAGCACTCTGGGAGGCCAGGGCAGGAGGATTGCTTGAGGCCAAGAGTTCAAGACTATTCCAAGCAAGAGCAATATCCTCATCTCTATAAAAAACAGAAAAATTAGCCCTGTGTAATGGTATACCTATAGTCCCAGCTACTTGGGAGGGTGAGGGAGGAGGATTGCTGGATCCTAGGAGTTTGAGGTTGCAGTGAGCCACTGCTCTCTAGCCCTGGTGACAGGGCGAGATCCTGTCTCAAAAAGCAAAACAGAACAAAACACAAAAATAAAAGCAAAAACCACCTACAACCACAATGAAAAAACCTGTACTCTTTGGCTATAATCTTTGAGCAGTACATGGACCTTAGAGTTTTCATTTTTCATCTTGTTACAGAAAAATGGGAGACAAATTTGAGAAAATATTTATGGGCTAGAAAAAGTAAAAGCAAGAAGCAGAGAGAAGAGAGGGATAAAGGAAGGGCCAGGAGATAGAAGGATGAGGAGAGTGACAGCGAGAGCAAGAAAGTGGGGCGGGAGCAGAGACCAGCAGGGTGAAACCTAGAAGGGGAGGAGAAAGAGAGTGGAAGGAAGGACCCAGAGCCTGAGGATGACGGTGGAGGTGGGGACGGGAGCTGGGGAATGTGGTGGTGGAGGGACAGGTGACAAAGAGACGGCAAAGGGAAAGGCAGGGGCAAGCATCTCTAACAACCTGGCTTCTAGGGAAGGCGGGAAAACTCAATGAGAAGCGTGAAGGAGGAAGCTGGTTTGATGTGAAGGTTTTTGGCTTAAGGGTGGGGTCTACCATGACTAAACTCTACCAAATCTTTCGTCAGGATCTTGCTTCTCCTCCTCATCTTTGCCTGAGTTTTGCAAAGAACAAATAATGATAGAATCTCTCCTTTTTCTAGTGACGTCCTGTCCTCTAAGAGATGTGGTCTATGCCTATTGCTCATTTGCCAACACAACCAACAATTTTGCATCACAAAATTTTTCTTTTTCTGTCAAATCATCTCTTTCAGGTGACAGAACCTCCCGTCTCTTTAGCCTGGTCTCTCCAACATCAGCTGGCGTCTGCAAGCGGGATATATGCTCATTTGAAATTGACTGAAGAAAGATTATTCTGCATCCACAAGTACCATAAAATTATATGCTGCTCAAGGCTAACTAGAAATATTTTTTACATTGACTTTTTTTTAGATTATATAATGGCTTACTTATGATTTTTTTTTTCCCATTAGCATAGATGCCACAGACAGGGCTGGAACCCCTAATCATCCCCTTGGACTATTATACCAATGTTCTATGCTGGGCAAATACAAGAACAAACTCTATTTTTAGGAATAGTCCACTCTTCATATGTAGGGTTTTAAGTATGAAAAGGTCTGGAGGTGATCATCTCATAGGCTTTTGAAATCCATTGATAGTTAATGTTTAACTAAAAGAACTATAATTCTTCTGACTGAACGGTTTAGTACATAAGTAAAACCACAGGCTAGCTAGAGTAACTATCTTTTCTACTTATTAAGAAGATCTCTTGAGGTAGCATTCTCAAAGTACTTATCATAAGATCAAAGATAATAGAAGCCTTTTCTTACACTCAACACAGGATTTCAAAATACTAAAAGGGTTTTAGGAACCTCCCAGGTGGCGAACTTCATAGACTGTATTTAGGATATCACATTGCCTCCTGTAAGATGCTTAGAATTCCTGACAGCTCATTCTTTCTCAGATTTTACATGGGAAGAGTTGTCCTTATTCCTGAAATGGTTTCCATGGTACATATGCGTAAGCACACTGACACACATTGTGTTTAGCTATCGTCATACCCACATCCTCGTTCCCTTCTATTAATATGGTATTCTAAGAGAGGCAGTCTTTTTGATTTGGAAAGTTAAGATATTATGATGAACATCTTTTAAAATAAAATAGTAAGACAAACTTACTTAGTCAGTTTCCTCTTCTTTAAACCATTTTTACTCCTGAGAATTAAAAAAAAAAAAAACCAACAAATTTATCTGGGCAAAAAAACTGATTAACATAATAATTAAACTAGAAGAGCTTTAAATAATTATATCAGGCACCTCCATTTTATTAAATTTTCATTAAACACACCTCAGGTTTGTTTAATCACTTTTCCTTAAATGAGAAGATAATGATAATAATTTCAGATTCATTTTTTAAAAAACTCTATTGGATGGCAGAATTATATTTGCACCTTATATTTTATATTCGCTAAAAACTGAGTCCTAGAAATATAATTTCTAGCTACTGGTGATTAACTTGCTAAAGCCCTTTATAAATGTATAGAAGTATCTCTCTGCTGCCTAACTACTCTACAGGCACGCAGGAAGAATCGGAGAATAAAAAAAGAGAATGAATGATGAGAGGGTGGAATGTTGGTTTCTTAATCAAAGACTAAAATAACCTTTCCTGACATTTTGATTAGAGATGTAAATTTGTGCTGTGTGGACGCATATCTTTCAGAATTCTACGGACGCATATCTCATATAATTTTAAGCTATCTGAAGAACTGGACCCATTACACGCTTGTCATTAGTTTACTTCTATTCTGTAAATTCAAGCATAGGAAATGTTACTGAATACTTTGGTTGATCACATTTGTTTCGGGTAATGGTTTCTATCCAGCAACTAAGATGACAAGTCATCTGAGTTAGCTAATGCTAATCTGTTGAAGCCCTTGGTTATCATATTCTTACTGTTTTATGTAAATGATGAATATTGAAACATGATGGAGCAGGCGAATCACACAATGCCAACCATTTTTGTAAGTAATTTTCAAAGGTCCTTCCCTATTTTTGATGAAAGCACCCATGTTTTCAGAAAAAAACAGTCTATAGTAAATAACCAGTTGTGGCTTACAATTCTCATGTACCAAAATATTTATTTATAGACATTTGTTTATATTAAAAATCATAAATATGTAATTGGACACTTCCAGTCCTCGAAAGCTTTTAGAACAATGAAGCACTACATTTTCCGTGCGCTTACAGTACTTGGCCAACGGAGTATTTCTCACGCTGTGTGACTGTTAGTTGCCTACCCACACTTTGCTAGAAATAATAGTGCCAGGATATCATTAACCCCCAGGACTCAGCACAGTTAATGAAACACATACTGGGTGGCCAATAATGCTTATTTAATTAGATTGACACAAAACATCTATGCCATGTTACCGTCAGGATTTCAGTGAATGATTCATTTAAGAATTTGATACTAGACTTGGGCTTGTGAGATCTGATTGCAAAATGAGACTTGTGGATGGGGAGAGACGAATGTAGGTCAGGACTTGAAGGAGAACATCTACAAAGGCAAATGGTGTTTGTGGGTTTCGGGCACTTCTTATTTTTTCCCACTTCTTAGGGAAGACAATCCATTCAATAGTGTATGTCCTATTTTTTCTCCCTCATCCTCTTTGTCCTCTGTACATGGGATTTAGAGGGAATATACATTCCAGGTTTTACTCTGCCTCTTCTTCATCTCCTCAGAACCCCATTGTAGATGTTTCCCTATAGGCATTTGGGAACCTAAAGAAAAATCCATCTGTCATTTTTCCTTCAGCTCTTGTGATGGTAATTTAATCAGCTGTAGGAATTCCACATTCGCTTTGTGTACTAAGAGCCAGTTGCTTTAGTGCTTCAGAAATGCAGGATGTCGGTAGAGATGGCTCACAGCTCTGGTAAAGTCAAGAGGCTGCCAACATATTCTGTGATTGGGAGTGAACCAAAAAAAGGCTTTTCTATCCAAACAGACTTTAAGGGAAACTAGGAAGAAACAAACGTATGTTGAGAGGTGACACTGAATAAATTCAGTGCTGAAATATTAAGCTGCTACTACTCAACAGCTGTGAAGAAATCTGATTCATGGAGGAGAGACACATTTTTTTTTTCTTTCCATCTCATTCATTACTGAGTGAACTTTCAATTTAATGTAAGATTCTACTTGTGTTTTGTATGAGGCATTGTCGTATATTTACTGTCCTTGGTGTAAGTCTTCATGATATGTGTAAAGCTTTCATTGTTCTTTCTATTGAGATTCTGTTGATTGCAAGGAGTTCCTATATCCTGAGAACGTGGAACAGGACCGGATTGAATTAGAAGACTCCACAGCAATACTAATAGAATTTTCTTGCATTTTTAATTGATATGCTAATTCCAAGACTAAAACCAGGGGAAGACTCATGTAAGTTAAAGCAATTTTCACTTCAGCACATTATGGAAAGACCTTATGTGTGCTAGATGCAGTGAGCATTTGAAGAGATGTCAGGGTATCACCTTTTCATTATAAAAGAAGTTCCAAATAACCAATAAATATTAATATTGCCCATCAGATATATAGCATATATCTTGTATCCTGAGAACATGGAACATGACGAGATTGAATTAGAAGGCTCAGATATGCATAGAGGATTGTGTACTTCTTTTAAGTTTTTTCCTTTTCACTTATATGAAGTATAGTTCAAAGTCTTAATGACTTCAAGAAGTTAAGGTCCATTCTTTATACGTCCTTTCTGGTTATGGCCGTCTTGAAAGACCAGCCACACTGGATTCCTTTCAATGAAGAATATGGGGCAATGACCAAGACATGGGATTTATAATGGATAAAACAAAACAGATCAACTCTAATAGCACTCGATTTCATAAGTGCTGCTTTTTCTTCGACGAGTTAAACAGAAACATCCCCAAATCTTAAAGACGTCGTTAAGGCTATATCATTCTCTGAACAGAACATGCAATAATCACAGGTAAAGCTGAGCATGTTAAACAGATGTTGCTTTGTGCTTAAAATGTCGACTGTTTAGAATTGAGAAATGGCAGATGAATACCTGAGTACAACAAGAGAGTGGTTATGGCAGAAAAAATGGAAGGAAGGAAGGAAGGAAGGAAGGAAGGAAGGAAGGAAGGAAGGAAGGACACCGAGTCTAAGTAGAGCTATTCTAAATGTCTAAATGAGATGACTTCTTTCAATAGGAAACATACTCTGAGACCGTCAAAGTCAGAAATCCTTGCAGAACACAGTCCCAAGACTATCCTAACTGGGCACCCCTCCTCCATACTCATTCTGTTACCACCCCAGGAAAACATTTGAGCAACACTATGAGAGAGAAAAAGGGCTTCTTGGTTTCCACACAAACCACTAGCACCATCAGGAGGGTTTTAGAAAATGAACTGGAACACCTTTCCGAGAAATCAACAGTTTAGAGAGAAACCGGATGGTGTGTTAGGAAGTATGTATGGGGAGGGGGATGGGCTGTTGTTTGTGGCTGTTGATAACAGGGTAAGTAAAATATGAAGATATACAATGACTATTTAGCAAATGAAAGCAGGAGAAAATATCCAAGAGTTTCTAGATGAAGAAAACAGTAGCAAATTTGAGTGGTTGTGTGAGTACAAGCTGTCCTCGACGGGGCAGAGACCATGACCTTCACTTCTTTTGTATCTGGCATTGCACAAACCCAGGCTGACAACATAGTTTATGTCCAGTATGTTTTCACTGGGTGAGATGTATGAAATTTACTGAGAGTGTCAGACATCATGGGCATCTATGCTTTGCCTTCTCTTCGCACCTGGAGAGAACCATGTATAATCTCAAGATGATTCTTCTAAAAACTACTGAAGAATATTTCTGCCCCTCCCCCCATTTTGGTATTGTACTAAAATCAGTAGTATAAATAGGACACCTTGAAGGGGTTGGTGAAATTTGAAGATATGTTCATCAGGGGAACCTATTAAGAAAGACATGCAAATAGGACAGGCCTACCTGATAGAACCTTAAAACCGAGCTGTGGAAAATGAGAAAGTCTGAGAGAGTTAAACAGGGAAATGAAAGTAACATCATGTAAGGGCATTTGCTACAAGTATTTTAATAATAGGTAAAATCCTTGAGAATGATCTTTCTTTCCTTCCTTCCTTCCTTCCTTCCTTCCTTCCTTCCTTCCTTCCTTCCTTCCTATGACAGGATCTTGCTCTGTCATCCTGTCTAGAGGACAATTGTGTCATTGTAGCTCACAGCAAACTTAAACTCCTTGATTCAAGCAATCTTCCTGCCTCAGCCTTCCGAGTTGGGACTACCAGCCTCACCACTGTGCCTGGGTGGTTTTTCTAATTTTAATAACATCAGGGTCTTGCTCAGGCTGGTCTGGAACTCCTGAGCTCAAGTGATCTTCCTGCCTTAGCTACCCAGAGTGCTAGGATTACAGGAGTGAGCCACCATGCCCAACCAGTTTCTCATATATCATGGTGTACTTTGTTTCAAAAACTTCCCTCTAGCCTTTTTTTAAATATAAATTCTGGTATTAGAAATATTTATTATGAGAAATTCCTTTTTTATGTTTCTTCCATTGCAACTCACAATCCTAAATTCTGCCAGCTATATTTTTTTCTATCCTCAGAGGAGC